TAGAGAATGAGGGGTGCCTGTGTGACTCAGTCAGTTAAGCATCCAACTCTTGATTTTGGCTCAGGTCATGACTGGATGGGTTCATGAGTTTGAGCTCTGTGTTGGGCTCTGCCCGATAGCACGGAGTCTGCTTTTTCTCTCTCTCTCTATCCCTCCCCTGTGCATGTATGCATGTGCTCTCTCTCTCTCCTTCTCTCAAAATAAATAAAATTTTTTAAAAAGATAGAGAATGATACAAACTTATTAAAAATATTTCAATATAGAAAACTTTTGGGTAGGCCTCAGCCTATCAATAGTGATGCTATCACTTAGGATGCCTGGGCACTTTCCTGGCCATATTACTCATAGTGAAACCCTACAGACATTTCTCTTAGTGGAGCCAGTGCTGTAGTGGGACCAACTCTTGTGGTTCTCATTATGATTGCAAGATTAATCTCAGCAATAGTCATCAGGGAACTTTGAAAAAACATTTATTACTCACAAGTCCTAGAAGGTACACAGCACACCTGGGGGCATATGGCAAGGTCACAGGTAGAGAGAGGGAAAGAGGGAGCACAGAACCAGAGTTTTACTTTATTTGGGTCTAGGTTGGGGTGCCTAGGGTTTGGCAAGTTCATTCTTTATTGTCAAATTTAAACCATAAGAGCAAGAATTAGGGCACAGGAAGGGAAAAGTGGGGTGACTCAAGTGGTCAGCTATCTAGGTCACACTGGGCTTTCTAAAAGGGGAATATCATGGGTGGGGTGGCCTGGCTCTTTACTTAGTTGTGTAGCTAGCAGTACGTTCTAGAAGGCTGCCATGAAGTAGATGCCTCAGCAATCAAAAGCTTAACATCAGGTGCTTGCCTTACAATTAAAAAAAAAACAACAACAACTTATTGTCAAGCACTTTCACTACAAAGACCTAAATACATGGAGAGACACATCATGTCCATAATTAAAAAAAAAATACAATACCAAAAGATGTCATGTCTTCCCAGTCTATAATATATACATCCAGTTCAGTTCCAGTATAAATCTCATCAGAGTATTTTTATGGAAGCCTAAGCCAATTCCAACATGTATATGGGTGAGCAGAGGAATAAGCAGGGGCCCCTGAAGAAGAAAGGAGGGGTATGTTACCCTTCCAGTTATTGGGGTCTTCTAAAGCAGGACACGAAAAGAGAGCTTAGCAGAGGACCCAGCAAAGAGAAAACCAGTGCATAACAGAAACCTTACTTGGCAGAGCAAACCCTGAAAGTGAGTGGCTGGGAGAGACGGCTTAATAATTTTGGTGGCAACACAGAAAATCTCATGGAGAAAATGCCATTGGATACTTCTGTGTGGAAAATATATACAGAAGTCAGCTTCTAGTAAGGCCCAAATGGTGAAAGACAATGTGTTAAAACTTTGATAATGCACATGTAATATAGTGTGACCTCAGAACAGCAAGGGCCTCTGAAATAAGATGCAGAAAAATGAAAAGACTGATAAATTTGACAAACATTAATTTTATCAAAAAATTAAAAAAAAGAACACAGTGAAATAGCCAAAAATTTGAAGATATTTGCAATACATAGAACGAAAAGTGTCAGAATATGTAAAGGAAATATGAGTCAAAACATGAACAGATTTCACAAAGAAGACATAGGCAAAGCCCAAAAACAAAACAAAACAAAACAAAACAAAAACCAACTTTGTTTAGTGACTTCTGCTTCTGTCCAGGAAGTAAAACTACAAAGCAAACAGTGCAATGGTTATCAAAAAATTCAGAATACCAGTTTGTAGGGAGGATGTGAGTTTTCAGTGTGTCATGCACAGGGAGTCGTGAAGCTTCTTCTGTTTTCCTCTGTATTATGCTGAGTGCAACATACATGCTGATTTCATTATTTTTCAACTGTATGGATACTCTTTTGCACATAAATAAGAATAAAGGTAGTGATGTGCATTAGCAAAGAAACTTCTACGCTTTTTAGTAGAACTCTTGATCATTCCAGAGCCCATTCTTCTGACTTCTACCTGTTAAGATCTCTGATCCAAATGCATAGTTTTGTTGGCCTGATCTAATAGAATTGCTGCTCCAGGGGATCCTTCACAGTGCAGTGGGCTTACTCAGCTTGGAGTAGAGTCGCAGAGCATGCTGTCATACTGAGGGATGGCTCCCCTGCCAGCAGTGTCATCAGACCTCTGCAGTTCATCCCTCATCTCCTGAGACATCTACAGATTTGTCATCTCTATGGGTACATGGTTCCTTTCAAACGTGCTTGAGGGTCATGCTCTGCTTAAGCAGCTGGGAGCAAAGCAGACCTCTTTGTTCAAAAGGTGTCAAAGTGGTTGGATGTGGCATCTATTCAGATTCATGGGCCTGATCATGGGACAGGTATGCTGGCTTACCTTCAGGGGCCTCAAGAGACAACTGGAACAAATGAGCCTGTCAGTTCTTCAAAGCCAGCTGCTCTTATGTAACTGCTTTTGCCATGGTGGCCAGATCTGCTAGGTCCTGTGACCATTCCTGATCCATCATCTGAAGTCTGTGACACAGGTCTCCCGGACAGCACATTCCCTGTGCCTTCCCACCACAGTGCCTGCTGCTCCAGTGGCTTTGCTGTTTCCCCCTCACCTTCTCATATTCTGCATGCTGCAGCACGCTAGGAAGTCATTTACCACCCTTTTTTATCCGCCAACACTACTCAGGTGATCTCATCAGCCCAGGCTTCAGTTGACATCCATATGCTAGCAACTGGAGAGATCCCATGTTCACTCGGTACCATTCCCATGAACTAACTTATATAGCCAGCTGCTCCCTCAGGATCCCCAAGTAAACCCCTTGTAGGTATCATTTCTGATACATTGCACCTGCACTGCTGCTATTTCACCAGAAGCCAGGTCCTTCCAGAATCTTTGCCATCCTAAGTGCAAATGAACTGTCCAGATGTCCAGCCTGGCCACCTTCTTCCTGTCACAGGTTACATGATTCATTAGCAACTGGACAAATCTTCCCTTTAACATGTATCCCTAATTTCTCCTCTTTTTGCCATTGCCCACCACTGTCGTATTCCACCTGGATTTTTTTTAATGTTTATTTATTTTTGAAAGAGAGAGGGGAGGGCCAGAGAGAGAGAACAACACAGAGGATCTGAAGCAGGCTCAGTGCTGTCAGCACAGAGCCTGATGTGGGGCTCGATCTCATGAACCATGAGATCATGACTTGAGCCTAAATTAAGAGTTGGACGCTTAACTGACTGAACCACCCAGGCGCCCTTTCACCTGGATTATTTTAATGTTGCCTTAGGCAGTCTCCCATTTCTGTCTGGTTCTCACCGACATTCTATTCTTCCATCTCAACCAGACAGATCATTTTAAAGCATAAGTTATAATATGTCACTTATTTGCTTAATCCCCCATCCCTACCTCCATGTCTTCTGATTAGCTATAGCTAATCAGCAAAAGCTAGAAAATATCCTCGAGACACTGTTTTATCTGATGTTTTCCTCTTCCCTCTGCCCTCTTCCCTGTCCAGCCACACTGCCTGCCTGGCTTCTCCTCAGGTATTGCAGGCATGCTCCTGCCTCAGGACCTTTATAGCATCCATTCCTGGGATGCTCTTCCTCCTAACAGCCTTGTGGCCAGCTCCTGAACATCTCTTGGGTCTCCTAAGTGAGGTCTTCCTAGAGAAGCTCACTTAAAATTGTACCTCTTCCCTATTCATAGCTTGTAGCTCTCCATAGCAATTACTCACCTGTTGTATGTTTTATGTGTATTTTTCTCCCTCCTCTGGGAGAGAGCCTCTGTTCTCCATCTAACTGTTCTAGTTTTCTATTGCTGCATGACAGGTTATTACAAAGTTGGCAGTTTAAATCAATATGTAACTAACCTTACTGTGGTAATCATTGTACAATTTATACATCTATCAAGTTATTACAATGTATATTTTAAATTTAAACAATGCTACATGTCAATTATATCTCAATAAAGTTGGAAAAAAAGAAAAAAGAAAAACCACCTTTATTGTCTTATAGTTTCATAGTTCAGAATATAGTGTGTTTGCCTGATGTCTCTGTGCTGGGTCCCACAGGCTAGAATTATAGTGTCAATAGGGCTGACAGTAGCAGGGCTACTTCCAGCTTCATTCAGGTTGTTGGCAGGATTCAGTTCTGCATGGCTGTAGGTTGGAAGTCCCTGTTTCCTGCTTGCTGTCACCTGGGGGGTCATTCTTACCCTCTAGAACCTGCCCACTTGCCATGGCCCCTTCCTCCATCTTCAAAGCCAACAATGACAGCCAAGTACTTTCTTCATGCTTCAAATCTCTGAGACGGATTTCTGACTGGCTCCAGCTGGAGAAAGTTCTCTGTTTTTAAGGGCTCAAGTGATTATATTGGGTGCACTGGGTTAATCCAGGATAATCTTCTGATTTAAAGGCCCATAGCCTTAACTCCATCTGCACAGTGCTCTTTGCCATATAAAGTAACATTCATAGGCATGACACCAACGCAGGTCATATCTACCATGGCACCCTCCCACCAGGACAGTGTCAGACAAGACAATAAGTACCAGTTGCAAAGTGGAACCTTTATCATAGCTGATGCACTCAGGTGCTCCTCCACGTGCTCTACGAATTTGGTCATTATGGAGCTTGTATCATGATAGCAGGAGCCCTAAGAAGTAGCTACTGTAACCATCCCATTTTACAGATGGAAGAACTGAGGCACAGACCATAAGTTACTCGCTCAACACCACAGAGCTGGGAGAGCCCCCGGCACTGTAGTCTCAGCCCATGTGATAGCGTACCCTAAAGAGCAAATACATACTGGGGAACAGGCACTGATTGCTGACCACTCAGATCTCTAGAAATGAGAAGGCCCTACCTGAACAGTGGCGGCATCTGCCTTGGTTTGACCACCTGTGCAGTCTTCAGGTCCTTTAACTTTCCAACCATCTCTCTTGCTACTTCTATAGACATTGTTGGTTGTGCCAGGCTGAAAATAATTCCATGTTTATACCACCTTCTGCGCTCCAATACAGATGCATATCCTAATTCCGAAGTTGTCTATGTGTGGACTAATGGAACCACTAAGTCAGTGGTGGTGGCAGAAGATGGCTCCAGGTTGAACCAGTACCACTTGATGGGGCAGACAGTAGGCACTGAGAACATCAGCACCAGCACAGGTGAGACCAAGTGCACATAGAATGTCACACCCTGGGAGAGCTCAGTGTTCCTGTACCATGCTGGGGGTGGGGGGAGGGGGCATGCCTCTTAGGAACGCCTGAGTTCTACTTAGCAAGCTGGGGCACAGCTGTGGTTGTGTGGTGCTGTCCACGGGAGCCCTCCAATTCAGATCCCTGTTCTTGCAGCTGCACACGGAGGCACCAACTGCAGTGGCTGCCTAGCAGCATGAAGAGCCATGGGAGGCATTGATCTGTGATGTGTTTGCCCTCATGTGAGCAGGCCCCTGTGATCGTAGGCTCTGCCTGGAGGTGACATAGACTTCCTTATGTAATGCAGTCCCTGCTCCCAGCATTGAGACATAGAGGCAGTAGTCTTTTCAGGAAAGGTAGACAGCTTCCTACAAGTACTCCTATTTACCAGCTCCCCCTACCAGGAGGTTTTGAAAATTTCTAAGAAGATTTCCCAAGGGTTGAATTTTGGGGAGTACAACCAAGCAGAATAGAAACAGCTGAGACCTCACCAAGAAAGAAGCAGAGGCTCTCACTCTCATGTACATAGGGCCGGGCTGAGTACCACAGGGGCAAGCCTGGCTTCACCTGATTCAAAATGGGTGAGGTGTTCCAAAAGAACAGAATATGTTCAAGGTTCTGCACCTGCGGGGTGCATCCTTGGCTGCTTCCTGGCCACAGGAGGCCCAGCCCCAGCAGTCAGGAGGGGAGGAGACCCCAGGGTGCCAGAGAGTCTCCATATGACAGAGAAGAAAAGTATAACAGGGATGGAGTGGGCCTGTCACGGGGATGAGTTCTGCGCTCCAAATGATACCCCGGTCAGCTCCAAATGATACAAACCTCAGGGCTGGCAGGAAGCTCATGGACATTGAGTGCATGCCTCCTCTACATACAGGCTCCTAGAGCCTACCCATTAGCCTGGTGCTGGGCATCCTGGGGAGAGGGGAGAGAGCCTGGCAGGATGGTGAGGATGGTGGCACCATGTGGATGCCTAGTTAAAGAGAAAGGAAGAGGAAGCAGGCCTAATTTTATGGGAACAAGTGAAAAGGTAGCATGGCAGATGTCTGGGGTAAAGAAATGCCATGCTGATGGAGGATGCTGCTGTTTGGAGTTGTTTCATACAGTTCTTTAAAAATGTGTAAACGGGGTTTCTGCCTCTATCTGCATTCTAAAAATATGGTCTTTTTTAAAACATTATCTGATATTGCTACCCTTAACTCAAAAATAAAACAAATGAAAGAGGGGGTGAACGGATGGGCAAAATGGGTGAAGGAGAGTGGAAGATACAGGCTTCCAGTTATGGAATGACTAAGTCACAGAAACACAAGGCACAGCATAAGGAATATTGTCCATGATACTATAATATTGTAATAGGGATGTATTGGGACAGATGGTAGATACACTTGTGGTAAACACAGCATAACATATAAACCTGTTAAATCATTATGTTGTACGCCCTAAACTAGTGTAATATTGTGTGTCAACTATACTCAAATTAAAAAAAAAAAA